GTAAACCATCTATTTATAGAATAAAATTCTTTTTAGGAAATTTCTCACTTATTTCCCTAAAACATTTCCCAATTTTCTACTTTGACCATCAGACTTTCAAAATTTTCATTTTGGTCATTATCCAAATTTTTGGGGTATTACTTATTTGGTTCTCTGACTCTCGATACTAGTTCCCGAGTATTCATACCATACGAATAGTATCGATACTCGTTGTTGGGATATCGATACTTCCCTCACAAACTCTATGGGTTTTTTACCTTCCACGACAGACAATATCGATACTATTCTTATAGTATCGATACCTTTAGACTAGAAAAGTTTGTTCCTCTCATTTAGAACTTCTCAAATTCCTCCTAAGTTGTCCCCAATGTCCATATTTGGTGTTTAAAGCTTATTTGGCATATAAGGATCATAAAAGGTCATCACTTTATGCATGAATAACAAAAAATTCCCATTTTCATGCTTGAACCCCCCAAATGCTTTATAAATCATACAAGCAACAAAACTACAAATGTTGATCTAAAAGCAATAAGGAATGGTTATAGATGTGTTACCATGCATTTGGTGACTAAGGAAACAACTCAAGGCTCACCCAATCACTTCTTGCTCTTCACCTTTGCCCTTAGAGCCTGCACCCACTTCTCTCCTTAAAATACACACAAGAATGGATTACTAACTTCCTTAGGGGTTTATAAAGAGTATATATATGATTCTAAACTCTTTACAGATTTGGAATTTCTAAGAACCCTAGAAATTCCAACCCCCTTTAAAACCCAAACTTTGGCCACCATAACCTACCATGAAAAAGTGGGTTTGAATTGAAGCTCTAGATGTGTAATTTACCTTATTACCTTAAAAGATTTAAACTAGGGCTGGGGAACAAGAAAATTTTCACCTTTATGCTTCTTATCATAACCAAATAAGATAAGAAAATAAAGGGACAAGGAAACAGTGAAAAAAGAGAACTTTTCTTGTATACATCATATTCTTAGTAAGAATTCAACTTTCAAAAATAGTTTAGGGGTAAATAGCCAATTTGATCCTTCTTTAATTATCCTTATTTCAAAGACCCCCTTGGTAGACTTAAATGGGCTCATCCTAAGACACCTATTCTACAAATGGACATGGATTTCACATAAGTCAAGTAAGTTTATTAAATCCTCCATTGGAATTGCCCGAACTCTTAACCCAGAAAGTGGGGCGTTACAACTCTCCCCTCCTAAGAAATATTTTCTTCCTTGAAATTTACTTAAATAGAACAGATGTGGATACTGATATTGCATGTCTTCCTCAGTCTTTGAAGTTGCTTCCTTGGTTACATGGTTCCTCAACAAGACCTTCACTAACGAAATTCACTTGTTCCACAATTCCTTGACCTCTCGATCCAAAACTCTTATCGAATCTTCTTCATAGGTCATATCTTGGCTTACTATGATTTGTTCTATCAAAATGACATGGGAATGGGTGAAATGATACCTCATAAGCATCGATAAATGGAACACATTATAGATGTGTTACATCTCTTGTGGTAAGGCTAGTCGGTAGGCTAAAGATCTGACTCTTTTGAGGGTCTCATATGACATAATGAAGCGCGGAGTCAACTTTCCTTTGCATCCAAACTAAAGCACTCTATTCCAAGGAGACACCTATAGAAAAACTTTATTGCCTACCTCAAATCCTATATCCTTGTACTTCAAGTTTACGTATGAACTTTATCGGTCAAAACCTTCCTATAGTTGACTTTGGATCAATCAGTCTTTATCTTTAGTTTCTCTAATAAAATTAGGACTAACTATCTTCCTTTCGGTAAGCTCAATCTAACACAAGGGTGTCCTACACTTCATCCCATACAAGGCTTTATAGGGAGCCATCTCAATACTCGTCTGGTAGCTGTTGTTATAAGCAAATTCAACTAATGGTAGGTGATCCTCCCAATTACCCTCGAGGTCTATCACTTAGCACCTAAGCCTATATTCTAATATATGGATCACACGCTTAGACTGGTCGTCCGTCTATGGGTGAAAAGTGATATTGAAGTTCAACCGAGTACCCAAAGCCTCGTGAAGAGCTCTCCAAAACCTCAACGTAAACCACGGATATCGGTCAGAGATAATTGATGTCGGCACTCCATGCAATCTCTCTATCTCTTGAATGTATAATCTAACCAACCTTTGGAGGTTGAAATCCATGGGGACTGGTAGAAGGTGAGGATACTAGGTTAATTGGTCAACCATGACCCATATTACGTCGTGTTTTATTCACGTCATATGTAATCATGTTACAAAATCTATGGTCACTCTATCCCACTTCCACTGCGGTATTTGGATGGGCTGAAGCAATCCTGATGGAACCTGATGTCCTGTCTTAACTTGTTGACAAGCCAAACATCTAGATACGAACTCAGTTATTTATCTTTTTATTCATGGCCACTAATGCAATTGTCGAAGATCTTGATACATCTTGTTTCCTCCTATATGGACAAAAATGCATTATAATGTGCCTCTCCAAGGATCTTGGCTCGTAACTCATTCATTAACAGAAAACATAATTATCTCTAAAAGTACAAGACATCATCATTCCTCAGTTCAAACCCGACGCCTCACCTCAATGAGTTTGTTCAACTTTAGCCAACAAGCGGGTGTTGATCCTCAGAAGTTCCTTCACCTCTTTAACTAACTCAGGTTTAATTTACAACTCAGGTAACAACCCACCATCATTGGTTAAACTTAAGCGTGAAAGCAAGGCCCTAAGATCGAACACTGTATTCCAACTTAGGGCGTCGACCACTATATTTGCCTCATCCGGGTGATAGTCGATCACACAGTCATAATCCTTAAGAAACTCCACTCAACCATGATACCTTAAGTTTTTCTCCTTTTACGTGAGTAAATACTTTCGTTGAAGATGTTGCACTTTCTCCGTAGAGCATTACAACAAATTTGTCAATTTATGACAAAATTTCTATATGACGTTACGTATATAGTCTCAAAACATACTATAATGTGACATTTTTTATTTTCGTCATATATATTGATTAATAGTATATATTTTATGACAATTTTAAAAATGGTCATTGATTTTTGTCACTATATGTTTGGTGCCAAAATCTTCCCACCAATTTTTTTTGTTGGAAACCTTTTAATGACATTTAGATAAAATAATGACGTTGTAAAATCGTCTCCAATGAAAAACAGGCATTAGTGACGATTTATTATAATGACGATTCAATTTGAATTAGTGGCGTTACACATTTGTCACTAATAAGTTTTATTCGTGACAATTTAATTTGTCATATTTTATAAGACACTAAAAGTGACATTTTATTATTGTCACAAAAAATTATTTTAGCACGACAAAATCAATTATTTGTCATTTGTTTTTATCTTTTTTTTTATATGACGATTTTAAAATACGTCATGAAAATGTCACTTAATGTTAAAAAATAAGATAATCTAACAACCTTATTAAATAATGCAATTTATAGATTTTTTTGTGTTTATTTTATTTTATTGGCATTATTCTATATTAGATTCTCTCACATTCAAAGATTTTTTAGAGTAAAACATAAAATAATAAATCGTAAAAAATAAATGACCATATGATTTTTTATATATTATTATACTTCTATGATTTCCATGATGTTACATCAAAGTGTTTAGACAAAATAGATATTTATACTTGATCATAGAAATACCCATAAAATTTTAGTATATTTAGATACATATAACATCAATAATTTTAAAATATAAAATATTACTCTTTTATATATAAAGAAAACTAATATTATAAAACATGTATATGTTTTGAATTTTTTTTTAGGATTATTATTGTTCCTCCAAACACATTTTTAATTGAATCAAACTTTGCATTGGAGAAATTATTTATTATGAAATTGTTAAAAATAGTATTTACTTCAATTATTTTATACTTTTAAAATTTCTAAAGATAAATTTTTTACTATTTTAATAAGTAATCTTTAAATAATATCAAAACCATAAATAAAAAATAATTGTTAGTTTTTTCTTTTAAATTTTGCTAAACGCTGCTGCTTTTATTATTCGATATTGTGCAATCTAATTGGAAAGCTCATTCAAAAACCTGTGCATGTCTTGTTTCCTTTTCACATTGATAATTCTTCATTTAGTAAATAAATGTTTCTGATGTAAAATTTCACCTTCACAAGATATGCTTAAACTTGACCTATCTTTATTAAAAATAAGACCAACTTGGCCTATCTTTATTAAAAAAATCATTTTTAAATTATATTTTAAATGATATTTACTTAAATAATTATTAAATAAATATTATTTACATAAAAGTACTCAAATTTAAGAGTTTATTTAGGAAAATAATCAAATTTAAGAAATTAAATAAAGGAAAATTATTATTTTTGGGTAAATCACACAAATGGTGAGTGTTGCTTTGTTAAATCTCAATAATTAAAAGTTATAAAATGGTATTTCAACTTTATGATATTATTTTATTGAGTTCTCTAATTATTAAAAATTATAAAATAGACATATGACTATTCATATGTTCTAAACTTGTTATTTTTTATTAAAAAATATTAATGGTCGTCTATGTTGAATATTAATCTGTTGATTGTGATACAATAAAATTTGATCCAAGAATTGTTTGAGTTATATTATACGGATCAACTATCCATTTCCATTATGTCTTCGAGCCGATGTTTAAAACTTATCCTATCAAGCAAGAACTAGAGAACAACATCGTACTTAATATACATCTTTAATATGATTTTATCATATTTTAGTTTAACATCTAATGATCATTAATTTTCTGACAAAAGGGCCTTTATTTCGTCCCCTATTTTTTTATCATTTTGTTTACGGTGAAAGAAGTTAAAAAGTTGTGCCGGTAAAAGGTGGGTACTAAGACATTTTTTTAACAGCACCGCGTAAGATAGATTACGCAAGCTATAAATAACTAAACGGATCCTTTGTTGCAGCTAAATCTCAGTATCCAATGCTCCTCAAAAGATAAAGCCCAAAATGACAAGTCGACCTACGTCGCCACCGCCCAAACCCGATGACGATCTGGACCTTTCTTCCTGACCAGCTCCGTTCACTAATCAAGCTAAAGCTGCCACCACCGTCGCTGGTTGTAACCCCCTCAGACCGAAGTGGATAACTCGATCTGATCTAGAGTGTTACATTAGGGCTACCGGAGCGACCCACTGTAAAAATAACGAAAAATTTAAAACTTTTTTTTAAAAACATGTAACTCATAATTGCATTATCAGCTTTTAGAAATAAAACAGATTTTCAGACTCAGATATAAAACAAAATACAATTACATGCCCCCTAATAACATGTACCATCCTCTGAAAGCAACGCCGGAAGAACTCCCTTATTGATATCGATAGCTGCACTGGTACAATTTTTTTAACCTGCAATGGTGAGTAATAGAGCGAGCTTCGGAAAGCTTAGTAATACAAAACTACCAAATGATGCTAAAGGACATGCAGATGAATGGGAAGCCATAATTTCCTTATTGAATCAGACGTATACAAATTTTCAGAATAATCTGAGGTTCCACTGGTAGTTAATAGAATAGAATCCGTGAAGATCTTAGGTCATAGGAAGCATTCATAGTATCACATTTTCAGGTGATCGAATAGGATGTCTAGTGTGTTCCAACAGTATGATAAAATCAAAATAGGTACACTAATCAAATGATAGTTCAGTAAATCTCATAAATCATACTGTAGTGGAGCTTTTTAAACTCGTAGTCTAAAACCATCGTATAAAGAGTTAACCTAAGGGAACATCTTAGGGCCTGAGAGCCTACCCAAGAAAGTTCGGGGCCACGGGGCCTACCTAAGAACACATCTTAGGGCCGCAGGGCCTACCCGAGAATGATCTTAGGGCCGTAGAGCCTACCTAAGAGTCACATTAGGTCCATAAAAATATTACAGCTTGATCCGAGCTGTACTTTACAAATATGTATCTCCAAGATACAATTTATACCGTGATACAAATCCATAAGCCATCACCATTAAGTCGATGCATCCATAAAATAGTAACCATAGATTTTAGTGTACCTCATGTTAAAACAACAAAACAATTTATAAAAAAAACAAGGAACACACTAGAGAAATCCCAATATTTATCAGAAGTATTTTGCAGTTATCAAAATAGATAACATGAAACTGATGTATTTTGATTAGATTCCAGTAACGAGGTCCTATTGAAAAGGAGTCAATTGTTAGTCGTTCAAATCAGACATTAAAATCGATACTTTAGAATCCCACTATAATTCAGGAGCATCATGAAAGTGTTCAGGAACCTTTATACAGAATGAATTTTAGATTCAAATTTATGGAGAGTGGTTCCATTACTCAACCAATCTGGAGTATCCAGAATCCTATGCATCTGTGTTACTTGTGCGAATCAAATATAACCGGAGTGATTTGATCTAATAAGGGAGAAAACGCAGAATCAGGACATATACCCTTTATATTAATCGATCAGATCATCAAACAACTCGAGTTACACCACTCCCTGATTAATGTATGTCGACAAGTCCATTCAATGCCCTTTCAGGGTATTGACCATTAATACAAACAAATTCTTATCCATTGATCACCTTCAGAATCATCATCGAATAGATCTTAAGGACATGAACATATATTCTATTGATTTTTATTTCATTTCCATATTTCAACTATATAAGGAAATGTTGACGTACTTGATTTGTGGTTCATAACCCATAGGAATATTTCATTATGTAAACTCATCATAGTTTCCAGACTTATTCAAATACTTACTAAATTCTCCGTCATTAAGGTTGCTTGGTTCATTTAGCAATTAATGTTATCCCGATTACTTCAGAGTTTTCCAGAGTAATTTAGACACCTCTGAGTTTCGGATACATGTTGTACTTCTATTCAGTTCACTTTGGTCATATACTAAAATCATTTTGGTATTCGTGATTGATTTATCTCACGAATATCCACTTCTTAATATCAAATACGCTCTATCGTTGAGCTGAGTTGAGTACTCCCATAATTATCATCAATCCAAACTTGAGGAGACGAACTAGCATTCAAGTGGTACCTATGCCATTCAAGTACTGATATAACTCTAGCATTGTTTGACCGACTTAATTTGCATTTCATAACTTTAAAGAGCAGTACAACATCCATGTTTATTTGAATTTCTTAATTAATCCAATACATTTACTTTGTATAGACCATAAGGGCATTTTGGTCATTTTGGTGCTCAACGTTTTTCCATTCATTTCAAAGCTTGAGGATATCTATTCATTTGAAAGCTTGAGGATATCTATTCATTCCCAAACTTGGTGATATTCTTGATTCATTTTCATTACAAGGGTATTTTGGTCATTTTATAGATCTAGGGCATTTCAAACATTTCATTCCATCCATTCTTATCATTTAATCCAAACTTATCATTTACTTCAGTCCTTTCAAACAATTCTGACAAAAGAGCAACATCTATAAAATATTCGTCATGTACTTACTCAATTCGGTGATTTTCAGGTTGAATGTCTTTTCAGATGTTAGTAACGAATTATCAGTAATTTCCCATACAAAATAGGATCCTAGCAATTAAATTCCTAGTTAATCGAGTTAAGTATGAATCCTCAAAGTACTTTCTCATTCAGGGTCAACTCGGATTATTTTACCTCTCAAGGGCATTTTTTTTGTAATTTCTTAACCAGATAATTTCAGTATTAACTCTTAACAAAAATAATAATAATATAGAGCTCATATGATTAATTATTTTCTTGAACATTCTCTGCTCTTGAAATGATTCCCTTAACAACTTCTAGTATTTTGTACAAACCACTTTGGGCTTAAAAACCAAATATCCAAATTTTCTAAACAAAACTAGCATTTCTTATGCACGTCTGAAATTTTATCGGATCAATATGTCTTTAAAAATCCTTTATCCAACTTCTATGGTTAAATCTTGTCTTTTCAACACATAAGGGTATTTCTGTAATTTTACCCTACCAGATTATTCTCATAATTTCTCATCCAATTACCTTTGATGAAATAAATTATATGATACAGATCCAAGCAGATTCCTTTATCACTAAACACAAAACTTGTAATTTTAATTCTAACAATCCATCAATTTCTTATAACAGTCATCTGAACTATAATCACTTACCGAATTTTTATCATATTCGAATCAAGTGTAGAAATTAATTAACTACACATATGAGACCAATAATATCTTATTCATGCATTTACCAATATTCACAAGATCTATAAAGCATAAAGAGGTAGTAAAGTATTACCTCGATTTTCATGCCATACTGATCGACTATAAAATTTCCCTTCGAATGCCCCCACTCTTGAAATCATCTTCCAATAATTCCTCATATGCATATTAACAAAAATTATATAAAAAAACAGAGCTTAATTCCGAAAGACGGATCGAATCGAGCGATTAATCAGTGAAATCCAACTTACCGGGTTCGAATTTGGCGAAACAGACTTCAGAATCGGACTCAGGATGTCAACGAAACCCAAATATTACTCTATAATTCCAGCTCGTCAACTTGATTTCTAGCTTCCAATCTTTTTCTAACGAACACGGACAATCTATCGTAAAAATATAACTTCAAATAATTTTCCTCACCATAAAAATAACTTATTAGAATCTAACTAATAATTTGGGGACCTAATTGTTAAAACTAAAAACTTTAGGAGTCAATAAAATTTTTAATTACTAAAATCAGGGACTAAATCAATTTGATTTAAACTATCATTGCTTGTGTGAAATTTTATTAAAACTAGAGGACAAAGTCGAAACCATACCAAAATGGATGACTAAAGCTGCAATTTACCCTTCATTCATTATCCACCTTTATCAAAACCCACGTGATCCTTACCATTATTATAAGAGAAAATCACCTCAGTGACCAAAAATACCTTATAATATACGATTTTAACCAACTTTTTTTGGATTTGCCAAAATGACCAACAAAATCGCAACGCGAAATAAAAATCGCAACGCGATCCCCAGAATCGCAAATCAGTTTCCAAAATCGCAACGCGATTCTGGAAAATCGCAATGCGATAGTACAAATTCGCATTGCGATTTTCAAGAATCACAACGCGAATATGAAAATCGCAACGCGAACACATAAATCGCAACGCGTATCCGTAAAAATCGCAACGCGTATCCGTAAATCGCAACGCGATTTTTAATGCGCCATTATAATCGCTACGCGTATTTTATTTTCAAATTACAAAAACGAATATTAAGAGAAAATCCCGTAATCGCAACTCATAACCTAAAACCTAAAATCACAACTCAGTCCCATCTCCATCTCTCACTCTCTACGGCGAAATCCGTCCCCATCTCTGAAGATTTCCGTCCCCATCTCCGGCGAAATCCCTCACAACCATTCACGGTCAGAAATCCCTCACAATATTCAGAAATGGAAAATCAACCTCCGAGGGTTAGTTTTTTTAATTATTTTTATTTTGAAATTTTTTCATTATTGTAGGTTTTTCATATTGAAACTGATGATAAGTTTACTGGTCATTTCAATAATAGATTAACCATTTCACTTAGATTTCATTTCGCGTTGCGATTCTCTCGTTGCGATTTTCATTTCGCGTTGCTATTCTCTCGTTGCGATTTTCAAGTTAGTATTTATCTTTGTCTTTGTTCTGTCTTTTGGTTGAAGTAATGCAATCCATTCAAGTTTCAATTTGCAGAAGAGTCGCAACGAGAGAAATGAAAATCGCAACGAGAGAATCGCAACGCGAAATGAAAATCGCAACGAGAGAATCGCAACGCGAAACCAAAATCGCATTGCGATTTTCATTTCGCGTTGCGATTCTGTCGTTGCGATTTTCATTTCGCGTTGCGATTCTCTCGTTGCGATTTTCATTTCGCGTTGCAATAGTCATTCTCTCGTTGCGATTTTCATTTCAACCAAAAGACAAAACAGTGTTGCAAATTTTAGTTTCAAGAATAAACTACTACTCTTTATGTTTATTGTTTTTGGTATATCTTCACAGTGTAGTTTTTGGTATATCTAACTTGGTATGTTTATTGTTTTTGTAGAAATTTTTTTCGGCTTCATTGACATTAAGGAATAAAGTTAGCCTAG